CCCTAGCCATCCTATTTGTACCATGAGGACATTCAGGGATACCATAGATGACTAGATTACAGGACCGATCTCTAGGTAGGCTACGATTTTGCATGTTAACCCTGGAAGAATTTCCAACAGGTCTAGCACTGGTACGAGGCATTGTAGAATCAGTGGGGATGCTGTCAGGATTATTGTCATCCTGCACTAGGTGCTGGGATACTTCTGTCTTAAGATTGGCAACCTCGTTTTTGAGAGCAGATAATTCATTAAGCACTTCATCAAGTTTCAATTTCAGTGTAGTAATCTCCTGATTTTGATTACTTATTACACATTGAGGACAAAAGAAAGGATCATTTGAAGCACCAGCAGCATCAAAAGCAGCTCGAGAGAGACCAGCACATTGGCGGTGAAGCCACATGTGACATGGACCATTACATTCAATTGATTGGTGACCTTTTTTCTTACCAACTGGGTCAACGATCTCTTCAGAACAAGTTGGACAAATTAGATGGCCATTAGTGATTGCTTGAGAGGTGGCAGAGCCTGTACCAGAGGTGGTCTTTTTGCTTTGACCACGTGCAACTTGGCGGGAAGCCATCACGAGGTTGGTAACTGGATGGAAAGAGACCAGAGAATATATATAATAGAACAAAATCTAACCGGGATTAATTGCCGGCACAGAATAGATACTGTGGGCCGGCAGAGAAGCAATTCAAAAGATCCCAGAGGAGAACAAAGATTCGTGACAGAGGAGAGTAAAATCAGGCTGCCATTTTAGACCACGCCTGTTTCCACTCAAATAAGAATTAGTACGCCTGACTTTAGGCACGGGTTCCAAAACTGAGGTAGATGATCTAGTAGCCATGATTCAGCACATCTTGCTTTCTTCCCGTCAGCGTTTTTCCCGCCTAATATTCCGCCATGTTCCGCCCCTAAATTAATAAAATAAATGTGCACCACACCTACTTTAAAATGGCGGATTTAGAAGGTGACAGAACCTCTTTTGTCAATGAAGACTTTGACGAGTTGACCAGTGAAGAGGGAAGCGACCCAGTCCTCAAGAACAATGGAAGCCAGGAAGAACCCAAAGAGACAGAGCAAGAGAGGAAAGAGCCTTCACCAGCACTACCAGTATATGCTACCCCAATCCTAACTAATGGAGAGGAGGGAAAAGAAGATGATGATGATGACAAAGAGGTGGTAGAGGGTGAGAAAGAGAAACCGGAGCCATTTTACGAGAATCCTAAACTGGAGCCAGACTATGACGAGCCTATTCCTCGCTCTGATGCTCTGCCAAATTTACCCCCATCTTTCCCGCCCCCTCGTTTACCGACCGAGCCACCTCCCACTTTATTGCTAGAGGATGAAGGTGGACATGGTTCTTCGCAGAGGGGTGGGGCCTCCACTGCTCCGTCGTCCGTTGTTGCGATGAGTGATGAGGCTAACCATCGTCCACTGCCTTCGGAAGAAGTTCGTTATGAGACGATACCGGATAGTCTGAGAGGAGGGGGAGGAGAAGATGCAGCTAATTATGATCTACAGGTAATTAATAAATAATTATTAGTTTATTAATTAATAATATTAAAATAATAATTATTGATATTAAATATACAACTTATAGTATTTTAAGTAATATCCTTATGGCTTGTAATTTTGTCCATTTACTAAGATAAAAGTTGCCATTTTAAACCAATATGTGCATTTAAGATACTAAAATTTAATGATTCCTACACTTAATACTCATTTACGTATAATTATGTGGCTCAAATGCAAATTTCATTATAATTTTGTTTATTAATTAACTATTAATTAACTAGTGGCTGTTCTATTCAGGTTAATATAATTGATCATGAGAAGCAAACCATTTCAAAGACTGAATCATTCATCACTTATAAGATAAGGACCACTGTAAGTATGATTTATGACACTATGATGTTATGGCCATTCTAAAAATTGGCAAATTTCTGAAAACATTCCTGTACTATAATAGCCCATGGTTTTTTTTGAAAAATGGCTAAAAAATCACCCCCAATTTTTATTACATTTTCTGATGCATATTGATGTACTTATGCTGTGTAAAAAGTTTGAGCTGATTCCGACTTAAATTTCTCAAGTTATGACCATTTTAAAAATAGGCCATTTTCTTAAAAAATCCCTGTACTATATATAGCCCATGGTTTTTTTCCGAAAAATGGCTCAAAAATCACCCCAATTTTTATTACATTTTCTGATGCATATTGATGTACTTATGCTGTGTAAAAAGTTTGAGCTGATTCCAACTTAAATTTCTCAAGTTATGACCATTTTAAAAATAGGCCATTTTCTTTAAAAATCCCTGTACTATAGCCCATGGTTTTTTCCAAAAAATGGCTCAAAAATCACCCCCCATTTTTATTACATTTTTTGATACATATTGATGTACTTATGCTGTGTAGAAAGTTTGAGCTGATTCCGACTAAAACTTTTTGAGTTATGACCATTTTAAAAAATGAGCTAAATCCCTGTACTATAGCCCATGGTTAATTTTCATTAATTATACAGACCATTAGGCCGAGACATTTATACGAGAAGTCCGAGTATCTTGTCTGGAGACGCTACAGGGACTTTGAGTGGCTTCATGACCAACTTGAGAGAAATCACCCCACACTGATACTACCTGTTAGTAACCACACCTACTTTGTGACCACACCCATTTACATGTACTAAACTCACTAATAATTATAAATGTACATTTTAAACACGTGCATGTAGAAATGTGTACGGTATATTGGTAATTTTGGAGGGTGTGAAATTACAGCAAACTGCTAAATTGTTGGTGATTGATGGATTTATTTTGGTGAGATTTGAGCCATAGTTCAAAACGGCGGGTTTTATTTAGGCAAATGTCTATCAAATCGCCAAATTCACCAATGCATAATGTACATGTACATGTATATGTATTAATTTTGATAAAGTACATGTTTTTCCCTGGGGCCCTTCCAGCCATTACATTACATTCTAGCCATTCCAGCCAGCCATTCATCAATGTATAATGTACATGTACATGCGTAGTAGTTACATGTATGTACTAATTTTAATTAATCCTTATAATCATCAATACATGCTTTTCCTCCCCCTCCCCTCCAGCCATTACCAGGTAAACAGATCACTCGCTATTTTGACCATATGAGTGAGACTTTCCTTGAGGAGAGGCAGAGGTGTCTCGATCAGTTTCTATGGCGACTGGCGACACATCCCTTCTTCTCGTACGACAATGCTCTTAAGATGTTTCTCACTGCTGATGATGAGGTAGGCGTGACTTAATTTCATTAATTTATAATAATTATTGATTGATATGTACATGTACATGTTTTTTGTTCAGAATTGAATGTACAATTGGCTATTTTATTTTCTTCATTACATTTATACATGTACCTATTATTATGCACATGTCATGCATGTGGACATGTACAAGTAGTTTTTCTTTGCACAGTTATAGTTATTATATTATGGTTTAGTTATACATGTACATGTGTATGCGTTAATTTATTATAACAAAATGTAGTTGAGATTTTTTAAAATGTATTGTTTGAGCCATACATGTACATCTATTGTTTTAAATGAGTGGCTAAAGTACATGTATACACTGTACATGTACATGTAGCAGTAATGAATTATATTCCCTCCCTTCTCTCTTCTCCCTCTCTCTCTCCCTACAGCAATTTCTATCTCACGTAACTGAGACCGGAAGTGGCAACAAGCTCTTAGACATGTTCTCTAGTTCCGTGAAGCAGGCCACCACCTCAATCAGGCTCAAATCCCCTGACTCCGCCTTCACTGAAAATACTAAATACTTCAGTGCTTTTAGTGACAGGATGGGCGTCTTGGAGAGGATAGAGACACGCCTCCAGTCTGATAGAAAAGGTAAGAAATTGAAATTAATTACATGCACATTTACAACTTGTAAAAGTTTAAATTGGCTGCTACTATTTTATTATTACAGTTTAGACGTACATGTACAGTACACTTCTTTGTTAGAGCTAGTATAATAGTTTATGATGTAATCTAATCAAATCTACATTATATTGTATTGCAGTTATAATAATTTATAAAAAATAACAATTTAATGATATAAGTTTCACGTTAACTTTTGCGGGATCGAAAGCAATCGAAATTTGTATGCAGAGATACAATTCCTATGCTACATGCACATGTACATGTACATGTATACGTGTAAGTAGGGCAAACAACATGAACTACATGTACATGTAGTTTATAGTATTGGACCTTGGTACATGTGTATATGGTATGCTGCAATAGCTGAAACAAAAACGTTACCGTTTATTGTTACAATCAAAATTTAGGAATATTACATGTGTACGTGTATATTCATTGAGCAGTATGTTTGTTGCTGTAGCAACTTTTAAAGCTCCCAATAATCATTATCTTATAGACGTGCGTCAACTGTGAAAGCAACCTAGTGCATAATAATACTATAGAGAGCACTCCATCAGATCTATACTGGTTCAATTTTTATGTATCTTTGTTAATACTAATACATAATAATTGGTAGCATAAAGACCATGTCATACAGTATTAAAGAAAAGTCGCTATAGCACATGTAAAGTGTATAATGTAGCGCAGAGTCATCAGTTTAAAAGTATCATAAATCAAATGAATTAGTATTTGTTTTACTTGCATTACTTGGTGTAGTTCGATTACGTTTTTTCCTCATCTTACGACAAATGATATTGACAATGGCACTGTTGATCTCTGGCCTAAAGTATGACTGAACAACTGGACTGACGATAAGGGCCAAAAGGAATAATACAAGAGCAGAGATATTGAACTTGTCCGGAGCATTAGCTTTAGCTATTGACGAATTAAAGAATGTACCAGGAATGTAGCATATCCCATATACCAGTAGCATTGATCCAAATATCCCAAACAACCTCTTTTTCTTTGAAGCATAGACACTCTCTCCTACTATCATTGACTGATTATTAATAAACTTACGAGTGAAACAAAATGTCCAAACTGAAGTAACTACAATGATGAACAATAGGATTATTATTAATGACAAACGAAAAGCAGCTGCTATAGGACTGTCTGAATACGCATAACAAACTCCTACATTATTTATATACTGGAATACTATACCAGATCCATTGATGAATCCTGAAGAGAAAAAGAGAGGATTGACTATCCACACAATAATGACAAGGACCAGAGCTACCCTTGGACTCATGAACCGCTTGTGGAGATGAGGCTTTACAATAAAAAGGAACCGATCGATTGATATGAGACTTAATGTCATAAGCGTCACATAGCCACAATAGATCATCACAAAAGCAGTGAAATCACAGGTTCCTTGCTTCTCCTCATCAGTACTACCAATGATCCACTCACGAGCAGCTAATGCAGCAATGGAGAAAGGAAGATATGACATTGTCATTAATAGATTTCCCATTATGAGAGAAGTAAAGAATATTGTTGATGATTGTTTCCAGGACTTCTTTTGATAAATAGTAATGACTAGTACAACACCATTAGCTATGAGAGCTAGTATCATCTCAATACTAAGAACCCCTGCTACTGCCTCAGGACTGAAATCACCAGTAAAAGTATAATTCCTTTTCATCCTTTCTTTCACAAGACTGCATGAAGACAATTGATAATATGTGGCTTGAGTTAGTGGCTTAAATTAACTACCTTAAGGAAACTTCCTCTAGCTATATAGCCATTATATCCTTTGCATATACTAAGTAATGATTGTATAATTTCCATCATGTTACTTTGAGACTCATTATTTTGTTCTAGATATAGTTACTAGTATAGACCTCTTTAGAAGAAGCACCATACAGTGCATGGCTAATCCTGGCCATTTTTCATTATGTGATAACCAATGGAATTCAATCGAACTTTATAATTTATTGCTTCATAGGTCAGCTATGTTGCATCCCCTGCATAGCACTTGATGTCCAATAATTAACTCAATTTATTATCATAATATGCAAAACAGCAAACACAATGCAATAAAGTATGAAAAAGTCATGGGCCAATAGTATTATAATTGATATTTGTATCCTTTGTGACTCCTGAATCACTTGAATTAGGTTTATGCATCATCTTATGACAAATAACCTCAACAATCACGCTCTTGATCTCTGGCCTGAAGTATGACTGAACAACTGGACTCAGGGTAATGACCAAGAAGAGTAGAACAAGAGAAACTAGTCCTCGCCTATGCAAAGCTGGGTGAGGCCAAAAACGTGGAGTTCATCTTGAAGATCAATAGTGGTCATAAATGAGGACAGAAATACACTAGGAGCGAAGCAAATCCCATAGACTAGTAGCATTGATCCAAATATCCCAAACAACCTCGTCTTCTTTGAAGCATAGACACTCCTACTATCATTAATAGAAAAGATAATAATTGAAATTAATTATATTTAATTATTTAAATTTACATTTAATTATTATTAATATTTACACTTACATTTGCACCGGCACGTTTACAACTTGTAAAAGTTTAAATTGGCTGCTATTATTTTATCATTGCTGTTTAGACATGTACTTCTTTGTTAGAGTTAGTAGTTTGTAGTACAATCTAATCTAATCTGCTTACATTGTATTACAGTTACGGTAATAATAATTTATAAATAATAACAATCTAAATTATAAGTGTCACATTTTTCTTTTTAACATTTGCGAAAAAGCAATTGAAATTTGTATGCTAAAATGCAAGTTTTATACTATTAGTATTGCTAACAATATGAGCTATACAGTCTTAGTATTGGCATGGTATGCTGCAATATCAGTAGTTGAAACGAAAACATAACCATTCATTGTTACAATCAAAATTTAGGAGTATTACATGTGTACACAATCTATATTGATTAAGCTCTTGTTGTTGCTGTAGAGTTCTCAATATCATTTATCTTATAGACTTGTGTCAACTGTGAAAGTAACCCGATGCATAATAATAATATAGAGATTCATTTTTATGCATCTTTGTTAATAGTAATATGTAATAATTAGTAGCATAAAGACAATGTCATACAGTATCAAAGAAAGTCATTATAGTATACATGTATAATGTAGTACAGTGTCATCAGTTTAAAAGCTTCATAAATCAAATGAATTAGTATTTGTTTTACTTGCATTACTTGGTGTAGTTCGATTACGTTTTTTCATTATCTTACGACAAATGATATTAACAATGACACTGTTGATCTCTGGCCTGAAGTATGACTGAACAACTGGACTGAGGATAAGGGCCAAAAGGAACAATACAAGAGCAGAGATGTTGAGCTTGTCTGGAGCATTAACTTTAGCTAATGATGAACTGAAGAATGTACCAGGAATGAAGCATATCCCATAGACCAGTAGCATTGAGCCAAATATCCCAAACAACCTCTTCTTCTTTGAAGCATAGACACCCTCTCCTACTATCATTGACTGATTATTAATAAACTTACGAGTGAAACAAAACGTCCAAACTGATGTGATAAGAATGATACTCAATAGGATTACTATTAATGACAAACGAAAAACAACTGCTATGGGGCTGGTTGCATATGCATAACAAATCCCTATATTATTTATATACTGGAATTCTATACCAGATCCATTGATGAATCCTGCAGAATAAAAGGCAGCATTGACTATCCACACAATAATGACAAGGACCAGAGCTACCCTTGGACTCATGAACCGCTTGTGGAGATGAGGCTTTACAATAAAAAGGAACCGATCGATTGATATGAGACTTAGAGTCATGAGCATCACATAGCCACAATAGATTATCACAAATGCAGTGAAATCACAGGATCCTTGCTTCTCCTCATCAGTACTACCAATGATCCACTCACCAGCAGCTAATGAAGTAATTGTGAAAGGAAGATACAACGTTGTCATTACTAGGTTTCCCAGTACAAGAGAAGTAAAGAATATTGTTGATGATTGTTTCCAGGACTTTCGTTGATGAATAGTAATGACTAGTACAACACCATTAGCTATGAGAGCTAGTATCATCTCAATACTAAGAACTCCTGCTATTGCCTCAGGACTGAAATCACCAGTAAAAGTATAATTCCTTTCCATCCTTTCTTTCACAAGACTGAACACAATTGATGATACGTGACTTAAATTAACTACCTTAAGGAAACTTCCTTTAGCTATTAACTATTATATTCGTTGTGCACTTCCTTACAATGCCAAATAAGTATAAATTGAAAGATAACTTTTAATTGATGTATAGTAGCTAGATGTAATGCTTGATTATATGTATGGATAGAGTAAAATATAAAACAGTTTAATCAAAGTATTACAGGCAGTCCTATAGTGGATAATAATACTCCACCGGTCAGATCACACATCTTTTGTTAATAGTAAGAGCTAATAATAGGTATCCATAGCATAAAGAGAGTGTCATACAGTATTAAAGAAAAGTCACTATAGTATGCATGTATTATTGTAGTACAGTGTCATCAGTTTAAAAGTTTCATAAATCAAATGAATTAGTATTTGTTTTAATTGCGTTACTTGATGTGATCGGATCAAGTTTTTTCCTCATCTTACGACAAATGATATTAACAATGACACTGTTGATCTCTGGCCTAAAGTATGACTGAACAATTGGACTCAGGATAAGGGCCAAAAGGAACAATACAAGAGCTGAGATGTTGAACTTGTCTGGAGCATTAGCTTTAGCTATTGATGAAGTAAAGAATGTACCAGGAATGTAGCATATCCCATAGACCAGTAGCATTGAGCCAAATATCCCAAACAACCTCTTCTTCTTTGAAGCATAGACACTCTCTCCTACTATCATTGACTGATTATTAATAAACTTACGAGTGAAGCAAAACGTCCAAACTGAAGTAACTACAATGATACACAATAGGATTACTATTAATAACAAATGAAAAACAGCTGCTATAAGACTGGTTGGATACGCATAACAAACTCCTACATTATCTATGTACTGGAATTCTATACCAGATCCATTGATGAATCCTGAAGAATTAAGGACAGCAGTGACTATCCACACAATAATGACAAGGACCAGAGCTACCCTTGGACTCATGAACCGCTTATGGAGATGAGGCTTCACAATAAAAAGGAACCGATCAATTGATATGAGACTCAGTGTCAAAAGCATCACATAGCCACAATAGATCATCACAAAAGCAGCCAAACCGCAGGTTCCTTGCTTCTCCTCATCAGTACTACCTATGATCCACTCACGAGCAGCTAATGCAGCAATGGAGAAAGGAAGATACAACATTGTCATTACTAAATTTCCCAGTATGAGAGAAGTAAAGAATATTGTTGATGATTGTTTCCAGGACTTCCTTTGATAAATAGTAATGACTAGTACAACACCATTAGCTATGAGAGCTAGTATCATCTCAATACTAAGAACTCCTGCTACTGCCTCAGGACTGAAATCACCAGTAAAAGTATAATTCCTTTCCATCTTTTCTTTTACACACAATTGATGATACGTGACTTAAGTTAACTGCTTTAAGGAATTAAGCTTCCTTTTGCTATGAACTCCTTTGTGCATTTCCTTGTAATACCAAATAAGTAAGTAATAGATAATTTTTAATTGATGTATAGTAAGCTAGATGTAGTGCTTGATTATATTTATGGTCCTCATGCATGCTACATTTGTTTCTTGCATAAGACAGTGTAATCAAAGCATTACCAGCTCACTGACTATAGTGATTGTAAGATTACATGTATTAAAGGAAGATTTAAAGGAAGATTTTAAAATGTAACTGGTGTAACTACCTTAAGAAACTTTCTTTATAGCTAACTACCTATATCCTTTGCATATACTAAGTATAATGAATGTTTTTCTGTGTTACTTTGAGACTCATTATTTTGTTCTATAGTTACTCACAATTTTTAAAGTGATAATGTTTAGTATAGACCTCCTACTAGAAGAAGCACCAGTGCATGACCATGTAATATCAATGAAATCAATGCAATTGAACTTTGTAATTGATACATGCATAGGCCAGCCGCTAATTGACTATAACTAATTAATTAATTAACTCAATTTATTAACATAATATGCAAACCAGCAAACACAATGCATGCAATAAAGTAGGAAAAAGTCATGGGCCAATAGTATTATAATTAATATTTGTATCCTGTGTGACTCCTGGATCACTTGAATTAGGTTTATGCATCATCTTATGACAAATAACCTCAACAATCACACTCTTGATCTCTGGCCTGAAGTATGATTGAACAACTGGACTCAGGGTAATGACCATATTCAAGAAGAGTAGAACAATAGAAAAACGTAGAGTTCATCTGGAAGATCAATAGTGGTCATAAATGAGGACAGAAATATTTTAAGACCAAAACAAATCCCATATACTAGTAGTATTGACCCAAATATCCCAAACAACCTCTTCTTCTTTGAAGCATAGACACTCTTTCCTACTATCATTGATAGAAAGGTAAAAATTGAAACTAACTATATTTAATTATTTAAATTTACATTTTATTATTATTAATATTTACATTTACATTTGCACATGCACATTTACAGCTTGTGAAAGTTTAAATTGGCTGCTATTATTATTTTTTATTATTACAGTTTAAACGTACATGTACACTTCTTTGTTAGAGTTAGTAGTTTGTAGTACAATTTTTATCTACTTACATCATATTACAGTTACAGTAATAATAATTTATAAAAAATAACAGTCTAAATTATAAGTATCATGTTTTTAACATTTGCGAAATTGAAATCTGTATACTGAAATACGAATTCTATACTATGTGAGAATTGCAAAAGCTATGAACTTCATTAATTTTATATCTGCCCACACATCATAATTGACTGCCATTTTGGTTGGAAAATTTGTTGAAGAAGTCATTGGAGGCATGAAGAAAATGCCTCACTTACCTGCTGTAACTCTAGCAAAAGCACAAAGTGCTTGTTATAAGAAAGAATAGCTACCTTTGAGCTTCTCCTGTAAAAGATTTGGTCAAGTTCGCTGCAGAATTCTTAATGCAGGTTTGTATTTATGTCGGCCCATTTGTTCTTTATTAAAAGTTTCCAACCAAAATGGTGGCTGGAATTTATTTCATTCTAAACCATGCCTTACAACCGTAATAGTCTTCTCAGTTCCCACGCAAGCAATTCTCACTCTGGGTGGTCTATAAATAAGTATTGCTAACAACACGATCTACGGTCTTAGTATTGCTACGGTATGCTGCAATACCGATAGTTGAAACGAAAACATAACCATTCACTGTTACAATCAAAATTTAGGAGTACTACATGTGTACACAATCTATATTGATTAAGCTCTTGTTGTTGCTGTAGAGTTAGTTCTCAATATCATTTATCTTATAGACTTGTGTCAACTGTGAAAGTAACCCGATGCATAATAATAATATAGAGATTCATTTTTATGCATCTTTGTTAATAGTAATACATAATAATTGATAGCATAAAGACAATGTCATACAGTATCAAAGAAAGTCATTATAGTATGCATATATAATGTAGTACAGTGTCATCAGTTTAAAAGTATCACAAATCAAGTGAATTAGTATTCGTTTTACTTGTATTACTTGATGTAGTTTGATAATAACTTTGATTAAGTTTTTTCATCATCTTGTGATAAATGATATTAACAATGACACTATTAATCTCTGGCCTAAAGTATGACTGAATAACTGGACTCAGGATAAAGGCCAAAAGATATAATACAAGAGCTGAGATGTTGAGCTTGTCTGGAGCATCAATAATTGCAAAAAATGAAGACAGAAACGTACCAGGAGCAAAGCAAATCCCATAGACCAGTAGCATTGAGCCAAATATCCCAAACAACCTCTTCTTCTTTGAAGCATAGACACTCTCTCCTACTATCATTGACTGATTATTAATAAACTTACGAGTGAAACAAAACGTCCAAACTGATGTAATAATAATGATAGACAATAGAATCGTTATTATTGAAAAACGAATAGCAGCCATTATAGGACTGGCTGAATACCCATAACAAGCTCCTACATTATTTATATATTTGAATACTGTACCAGATCCATTGATGAATCCAGAAGAGAAAAAGAGAGCAGTGGCTATCCACACAATAATGACAAGGACCAGAGCTACCCTTGGACTCATGAACCGCTTGTGGAGATGAGGCTTCACAATAAAAAGGAATCGATCGATTGATATAAGACTTAGAGTCATGTACATGATATTACCACTATAAAGCAATATGTAAGCGCTGACATCACAGGTTCCTTTCCTCTCCTCATCAGTACTACCAATGATCCACTCACCAGCAGCTAATGCAGCAATACAAAAAGGAAGAACCAATATTATTAAAAGGTGTGCCAGTATGAGAGAAGTAAAGAGTATTGTTGATGATTGTTTCCAGGACTTCCTTTGATAAATAGTAATGACTAGTACAACACCATTAGCTATGAGAGCTAGTATCATCTCAATACTAAGAACTGCTGCTACTGCCTCAGGACTGAAATCACCAGTAAAAGTATAATTCCTTTCCATCCTTACTTTCACAAGACTGAAGACAATTGATGATACATGACTTAAGTTAACTGCCTTAAGGAAACTTCCTTTAGCTATGAACTATTATATCCGTTGTGCATTTTCTTACTATACCAAATAATTAATTATTATAGATGTTTAATTGATGCATAGTAAGCTAGATGTAGTGCTTGATTATATTTATGGTCCACTGTTTAATCTAAAATGCACTATGCTACATTTGTTTCTTGCATAAGACAGTGTAATCAAAGCATTACAGTGGTGAAAGATAAAAAAGACATGTATTAAAGGAAGATTTAAAAGATTTTAAAATGTAACTAGTCTAACTACCCTTAAGAAACTTCCTCTATAGTTAACTATAATCCTTTGCATATGCTAAGTATAATGAATATTTTTCCATGTTACTTTGACACTCATTATTTCAAGTTGTTCTAGATAGTTACTCACAATTGTTAAAGTGATAATGTTTAGTATAGACCTCCTACTTGAAGAAGCACCAGTGCATGGCCGTGTAATATAAATGGAATCAATGCAATTGAACTTTGTAATTGATGCATTCATAGTTCAGCCATTAATTGACTAACTATTCAATTAATTAACTCAATTTATTAACATAATATGCAAACCAGCAAACAATGCAATAAAGTAGGAAAAAGTCACGGGCCAATAGTATTGTAATTGATATTTGTATCCTGTGTGACTCCTGGATCACTTGAATTAGGTTTACGCATCATCTTATGACAAATAACATCAACAATCACGCTCTTGATCTCTGGCCTGAAGTACGACTGGACAACTGGACTCAGGGTAACGACCAAGAAGAGTAGAACAAGAGAAAAAACGTGGAGTTCATCTGGAAGATCAATAGTAGTCATAAATGAGGACAGAAATACACTAGGAGCAAAGCATATCCCATAGACCAGTATCATTGATCCAAATATCCCAAACAACCTCTTCTTCTTTGAAGCATAGACACTCTCTCCTACTATCATTGACTGATTATTAATAAACTTACGAGTGAAACAAAACGTCCAAATTGATGTGATAATAATGATAGACAATATTAATGAAGCAAATAAATAACGAATAACGGATGCAATAGGACCGGTTGTATACACATAGCAGCCTCCTAGATTTTCTACGTACTGGTATACTATACCAGATCCATTGATGAATCCTGAAGAGAAAAGGACAGCAGTGACTATCCACACAATAATGACAAGGACCAAAGCTACCCTTGGACTCATGAACCGCTTGTGGAGATGAGGCTTTACTATAAAAAGGAACCGATCGATTGATATGAGACTTAGAATCATAAGCATCACATAAACACAATAAATTATCAAAAAACCAGTGAAATCACAGGTTCCTTCCTTCTCCTCATCAGTACTACCAATGATCCACTCACCAGCAGCTAATGCAGTGATAGTGAATGGAAGGTACAATATCATGAAAAGGTGTGCCAGTATGAGAGAAGTAAAGAATATTGTTGATGATTGTTTCCAGGACTTTCTTTGATAAATAGTAATGACTAGTACAACACCATTAGCTATGAGAGCTAGTATCATCTCAATACTAAGAACTCCCGCCACTGCCTGAGGACTGAAATCTCCAGTAAAAGTATAATTCCTTTCCATCCTTTCTTTTGCAAGCTTAGACAACTAATGAACTAAACAAGGATAATAATGTATATATAGCAAACTTCCTCTGGTAGCTACATTGTATTTCCTTTATTAGTAAACAGTGAGGTGTTATTCAACAGCACACTGAGTAACACGTTGGCTCTACTATTGCACTATGATAAACAAGCATAACAGTATAAAAATATTCCTATAATTGTTTTTACTACCTTGCTTGTACAAGTCAGTTATTGTTAAGACTTATAGAGATTCTTTCGACCTTCTAATGCTGTTGGATTCATTAACATAAATGCTATCAGTTTTTTATAACTGAGTATTAAGCAAAGAAGACTGAGCAAAAAAGATTTCGACTTCAAGCTATCCCTGCTTTCTGGTAGAGTCCTGCTTGGGGAGTCTTACAGTCTAGTGTATTTTTTCTTATTATAGTTATATGCTTGGTTTAATTATATTTTTGTTAGCCTGGTAGTGAAAGCTAAAAATGTTGCCAAAAGTAGTTGGCCCTCCAATTCTAATTACTACATCATGTAATACCAATGGAATGCAATCGCATGAACTTTGTAATTATTACTTCATAGGTCAGCTGTGCTATACATCCGCTGCATAGCACTTGATGTCCAATGATTAACTCAATTTATTATCATATTATGCAATACAACAAACACAATGCAATAGAAGTTAGTCTCGCCCTTTCTGTAAGGAAAGAAGGAAGAGAGCTCACTAATAGAATCACATACTAGATCATTTGTATCACGTGCAAGTGACTGTTGAATTACATGTACAGTGTACATAGACTGTATTATAGGTAAGTTTATGCATCATGTCATCTTTTGACAAATATGACCTTTGAGTAATAATGATTGAAAACTTCATTCCTTTGCAATTTGACTAATGGTCAATAATTAATTAACACGGTTTTATGATCGACATACAAAATGCTGTTTTATACAAAGTATATCAAAGTCACTGGAGTAGAAAAGTGTCTAAAGTTTCAGAAATCAGAGGAATTAATATTTATTATGCTAAGTTATTTGATGTATTTGGATCAGTTGGAGTAGGTGTATGCATCATCTTATGACAAATAACATCAACAATGATTCTATTGATTTCTGGCCTGAAGTATGACTGAACAACTGGACTCAGAATAATGCCCAAAAGAAATAATACAAGAGAAGAAACAATGAGTTTGTCTGGAGCATCAATAATAGTTAAAAATGATTGCAGAAATGTAGCGGGAATAAAACACATCCCATAGACTAGTAGCATTGACCCAAATATCCCGAACAGCCTCTTCTTCTTTGTAGCATAGACACTCTCTCCTACTATCATTGACTGATTATTAATAAACTTACGAGTGAAACAAAACGTCCAAACTGATGTAATAAGAATGATACTCAATATAATAGATGCAGATGAAGAACGAAAAATGGATGCAATAGGACTGGTTATACCCACATAGCAGCCTCCTATGTTATCTATATACTGATAAGTTAAACCAGATCCATCGATGAATCCAGAAGAGAGAAGGACAGCAGTGACTATCCACACAATAATGACAAGGACCAGAGCTACCCTTGGACTCATGAACCGCTTGTGGAGATGAGGCTTTACAATAAAAAGGAACCGATCGATTGATATGAGACTCAGTGTCACATACGTGTTATAAACACTACAGTAGGTTATATAAGCAGTGAAACCACAGGATCCTTCCTTCTCCTCATCAGTGCTACCAATGATCCACTCACCAGCAGCTAATGAAGTGATAGAGAAAGGAATGACCAATAACATTAATAAGTGTGCTAGTATGAGAGAAGTAAAGAATATTGTTGATGATTCCTTCCAGGACTTCCTTTGATGAATAGAAATGACTAGTACAACACCATTAGCTATGAGAGCTAGTATTATTTCAATGCTGAAAACTGCTGCTACTGCTTCAGGACTGAAATCACCAGTAAAAGTATAATTCCTTTCCATCCTTTCTTTCACAAGACTGAAGACAATTGATAATGTGTGGCTTGAATTAGTGACTTAAGTTAAATACCTTAAGGAACTTCCTTTAGCTAACTATTATATCCTTTGCATATATACTTCCTTATCTACGTAATGTATGCTTTTCCATGTTACTTCGGCTCTCATTTGTTCTAGTTACTCAGTAAAGAAGTGATGTATACGAAACTACATGTAGATGCAAGCTTTATGTCTGATTGAAATATGTTTGGATAAACAATAGCATCAGCAGGTGTCTGATGAACCTAACTATAGTTAAGATTACATGTCTAAAAGAAAGATTTTCTTTACTACAATTAAACATCAGATAGTACAAGGATCAACATTATAGTTTAATTAGGATTGATGTATATTTTTATAGTGCAATTTTATCAAGCGATGGAACTGTCTACCTACCTCCCCTCCTAATTATGCAAGATTTGTTGCATGCAACTTGTAGCATACAGCTCAGTTTATACAGGAATCACAGCATGTTGTATGAAACAAAAATGTTTCTTATATCGTACAACATGTTGCATGCTTCACTGACTCCTGTATAGACTGTGTATACATGTGTATATTACCTGTCATGTATCTACTTTTCTACTTACCACTAGATTAGCAAACATTCAATTCATAAACTTACAATTTTGGGACTATATCAAAATATTGACTTCATTTTGTGCTAGTTTTAATTTGCTACCATAGCTGGTTTCTTTTGTTATATAGGTCAAACTTACGTTTTTTGAGGGGAAATCCAACTTTGTGGGTTTTATTTAATTTTTATGCTCATCTACTTCATGTTTTACCATAGTTTAATTTTTGTTTTTGGACAAATGATTACAACTTACCTGCACAAATCTGCATAGATTACCAACCCAATTTCTAGGACTTAGGAGCCTGTAAAATTGATAGTACCATGAATACATATACAGTACAGTACCTGTAAAGTGTACATGTATATCTAACTTCCCATTATATATAGTATACATTATTAAACTCTATACATGTACATTATTGTGTCTTTATTTATGTTAGAGTTATGCACTGCATTGACTGAAATGGCTGAGGTTTGTGACACCTGGTCCAGCTCTGAGGATAGGCTGGAGGACGGGATTAAGAAAGTTGGCGGAGCCTTTGAAGCCAATGCTTCAGCACTGAATAATCTGGTAAGGAATAGGGGAATCGATTATATTGTGTTGTAAAAATGAAGTTTTACTTTATTACTATTTGACTTTTTGTCAACATGATAACATTGATTTTAATATTTTTATTAAGAAATAATAATCTTTGTATTGCCATTGTGTATTATAACAAATTATTGCTATTGATTTTATCTCTCTCTCTCTCTCTCTTTCTCTCTCTCTCTCTCTCTCTCTCTCTCTCTCTCTCTCTCTCTCTCTCTCTCTCTCTCTCTCTTTTATAGAATGATTCAAATTCTTATTCCTTTCAGTTAGCTCTTAGGATGTATCAAAATTATTCAGCTAGTGCCGTTGTAAGTTATACTGCAACTTTTTGCTGTATGTATCATGCCAACAAAACATACAGTACAGCTACAGTAGGTCATAATGCGCTATTTCAATAAATGGCCATAACTCAAAAAAAATTTGTCAGAATCAGCTCAAACTTTCTACACAGCATAAGTACATCAATATGCATCAGAAAATGTAATAAAAATTGGGTGTCATTTCGGAGCCATTTTTTGGAAAAAACCATGGGCTATAGTACAGGGATTTTTTCAGAAATTGGCTTTTTTTTAAATTGGCCATAACTCGAAAAATTTTAGTCAGAATTAGCTGAAACTTTCTACAGAGCATAAGGATATCAAAATGTATCAGAAAATATAATAAAAATTAGGGATGATTTTTTGGTCATTTTTCGGAAATAACCATGGGCTATTATAGTACAGGGATTTTTTCAGAAATTGGCCAATTTTTAAAGTGGTTGTAACTTGAAAAATTTTAGTTGGAATCAATCAGCTCAAACTTTCTACATAGCATAAGGACATCAATATGTATCAGAAAGTATAATAAAAATTAGGGATGATTTTTTGGTCATTTTTCAGAAATAACCATGGGCTATAGTACAGGGATTATTTCAGAAATTGGCCGATTTTAAAAATTGGCCATAACTTGAAAAATTTTAGTCAGAATCATCTCAAACTTTCTACACAGCATAAGTACATCAATATGCATCAGAAAATGTAATAAAAATTAGGGGTGATTTTTTAGCCATTTTTTGAAAAAAAAACCATGGGCTATAGTACCATGTTTTATTATTATTTTATTTTTGTAGTCTGCTCTAAAAAGAAGAGATGCCCTTCAGCTAGAGCATGAAATAGCAATTGATGAGAAGGAAAGGAAGAAGAAGCTTCATGATGAGGTAAAAGTAACAAGCGTAACAGTGTAAAAAATATTCCTATAATTGATTTCACCACCTTGCAAGAACAAATGGATTTTATTAAGACTTATAGAGGCTCTCTCTACCTTCTAATGCTTCTAGAGAAGTCTTTGGACAGTATCTCTATGTTCTCTTGCTGTTAGAAAGCTCTTAACTTTGTCCCAAGTTTAAGCTGCCATTTTGTTTGCCGTGACCACACCCACTACGTAAAGGAGCGTGGGTGGGTGGTTGCTAAGGCTTGTTATTTCTCCAATACAACATGTATAGAAGAAATGTAAGTGTGGACATACAAATATATATATATATATATATATATATATACAAACATCGCACGTGGGTGAAATCAATTATAGGAACGACCTGGGGGCTACGCCTCCAGGTCGTTAAAAAAATTACAAATAATAGAAATTATAATGTCTTCCCCCCTCTCTCTCTTTCAAAGGCCGTACAAGCAGGGAAGACTGAGAAAGTCACAAAGATAGCAGCTGAACTGGAAAAAGTAAATCCTTTTCTTTCTTTCTTTTCTAAAAAAATTTCTTCTCCAGTTAGGTGTGACAGCAGAGGTTACTCAAGATAAGCTGGCTCAGTCTAACGAGCAGCTAAGAGTTGATGTGGAGAAATGGAAGGAGGCTAAAGACAATGAACTGAAACAGATTTTCCTAAACTGGACCTCAAACCAGATCATATACCACGAGAAGGTGAGTGATGCCTTTGCTTTAAAATTTTATAGTACATGACATGTATATGTATGTATACATTTTCATTATTTTTATAGATGTTTCGTGAGTGGGAGGAGGCTCTGTTGTTGCTACGGCAACTAGGCTCTGATGAGGACTTTATAGATCAATATTAATGGACGACTATTTTTGTTGTGATTATTGTTATTATTAATATTATTATTATTATTTTATTGTTTTTTTTGAATTGTAAAAATTAATTGCTTTATGAAAAAACAATTTTACTATTTAAAAATACATTTTTACAATCACAATTATGTATACAATTTCCCTTACTTACATTCACACCTTAAGGTGTTAACAAGATGTCAAAAAATCAAGTTAAGGAAGCAATATTTATAATTAAAAATTACAATTTCTTTTTCACACCTTGAGGTGTTAGAAAAGGTGTCAAAAATTAATTTTAAAAAAATCATAATTATTAAGAAAGCAATATTTGTAATTAAAATTACAATTTCTTTTTTACACCTTGAGGTGTTAGAAAAGGTGTCAAAAATTAATTTTAAAAAAATCATAATTATTAAGAAAGCAATATTTGTAATTAAAATTACAATTTCTTTTTTACACCTTGAGGTGCTAAAAAGGTGTGAAAAATTAATTTTAAAAAAATCATAATTAAGAAAGCACTAATAAATTATTTACAATTACAATACAATTAAAAATACAACTTCCTTTTCTTTTTCACACTTACATTCACACCTTGAGATGTTAACAAGGTGTCAAAAAATAATTTTAAAAAAATTAAAGGAAGCATTTGTGCATCCTTAACTGTTTGTATTGTTTTTTGAATTGTATAAATTTATTGCTTTATAAAAATACAGTTTACAATTAAAAAAATACAATTTTACATTTAAAAAATACAATTTTACAATACACTATGAATATTCTTGTCCACACTTACATCCACACCTTGAAGTGCTCACAAAGTGTCAAAAAATAATTTTTAGAAATCAAAGGAAGCAATATTTGTGCATGATGCATCACGCTTGACTGTTAAATTATGATCAGGTTTATGCATAATCTTATGACAAATGATATTAACAATGACACTGTTGATCTCTGGCCTGAAGTATGACTGAACAACTGGACTGAGGATAATGGCCAAGAAGAACAGTATAACAGAAGAAATTGTGAGCTGATCAGGAACATCAATAATGGCTAAAAACGAGGATAGAAATGTACCAGGAGTGAAGCATATCCCATAGACTAGTATCATTGATCCAAATATCC